GTTTGTTTGCTTCTTGGGGGGTTTTTTGGTTGTTTGGTTTTGTTTTGTTTTTGTTGACAGAGTCTCCCTAGTCCCAGCAGGTCTGGAAATCACTATGTGGACCAGGCTGGCCTGGATGTCACAAAGATCCACCTGCCTCAGCCTCCCTAAGGCTGGGATTAAAGGCTTCCAACACCATCCCTGTGGCTGCACTCTTTTTTTATTTTATTTTATTTTATGTGTGTGAGTGTATTGCCTGCATGTAGGTAAGTACATCTGTGTTGTGTGATACCTGCAGAGGACAGAAGAAGCCATAAGATCCCCTGGAACTGGAGTTACAGACAGTTGCTAGCTGCCATGTTGGTGCTGGTATTCAAACCCGGTATTTGAACACAACTAGTGTTCTTAACCACTGTGTTCTCTCCAGCCCATGGATGTACTCTTAACTAGATATTTTCTTCTTTTTCATGACAATCAGTTTAAAAGAGCCATTGCTGGGGCTGGAGAGAGAGCTCAGTGGTTAATGCTCCCACTGAGGACCTGGGTTTTGTTTCTAGCACCCAAAAACTGGGTGGCTCAAAACTGTAACTCAAGTTCCAAGGGATTCAAGGAATGCTCCCTTCTGGCTTCCTTGGGCACCAGTAACACACATGATGCACATACATACATACATACATGCAGGCAAAACATTCATATACATAAAATAAAAATGAATAAATAAATCTAAAAGATCCATTGCTTGGTTTGCATGAATGTCATAACAGGAAAAATCAAATGATTTCCTGCCCACCCTGAATGTAGCTAAGGTACTGTCTTACTTTTTTACTTTGTTCTTGTTGGAATTTTTCCACCTACATTTGATCATCACTGTTAAAAAAAAAAAAAAAGTCTCCACATTCCTAATTCCTCTAGACAATCAATAAAAATTTAGTTTTCTATTTCATCTCTTTTTACAAACCTACCATTCCCAGTGGGGTCCCACCAAAAGCAAATATGGTTTTGATTTTGTTCATTATTATGTTTTCTGACACTATTGGTCTTTCCCCCAGAATTCTACCACCCACCTGCAGGCTCAGGTTCAGCTATTGATTAGTACTCCAGGTCTGTCTCTGGCATTCCAAGGTTCATGTAAACCCAGTTCCGTTACGTTCATGGAGATTCAAATAAAATTCTGACTGAGTTGAATAAGTCATCACCAACTGAGTAAAAGGATTAAAGTGGCACCCAGAGATAGTCACATCTTGGTTCTCCCAGAGAAAGTGACTCTAAAACATGCCTATCTCACATATACTCATTACATCATTCAGCTGATCCGTCCATCCACATTTATAATTACAGTGCTCTCTCTTTATCCTCTCTCTCCCTCTCTCTCTCTCTCTCTCTCTCCCTTCACTACTCTCTGCCAGTTCTCTTTTCATCTTCTTTCCAATCAAATTCGGTCACTCCCGGACCTCACTCAACTCTCTCTCACACACACACACACACACACACACACACTGTAAGGAGCAGAACTTGCCATGTTGGAAAGGAAAGTGAAACTGTGTTTATTTACCTTCCTGACATGTGAAAGTTCGATTGTTTTTGTTTACTTTCTTGAGGAGTGTTGACTTCTTAGCTAACCCCAGGTAGCTCAGATAATCAGAGAAAGCTGTGTGAAGGCCCGAGCTCTGACCTGAAGTAAATTCAGAGTGAGTTCCGACCTGAAGTAAACTCAGACCTGGACCGGGAAGCCTCAGTTCCCTGAGAACTTGGATGTTCTTCTGCAGTGATTTCTATCACGAGACTGACAGTTCCTTGAACCCTATTAAACGTACATAAGTAAGCTTGTATAACAAGGCTGTGTGACTAATAAAGTTGTATGTAAAGAATAGAATGTTTAATAGGCATGGAGGGACAGGTACGATTCCAAAAAGGGCTGAGCCCGGGGAACACAAAGGTACTGCAAATATCATAAAAGTACTGTACATATCATGATGAGGTAATTTGGCTTGAGAAGAACATTTTCTTTTCCTCTTGTTGTACTATAAATAGGGTTGATTCTTAGAATAAAGCATGCACTGGTTCACACGCCTCTGCATCCCCTGCATCCTGATTTCTCCTGCACCTATACCTCGGGATCACCAAGCCCATCAGGCTTGAATTGTGGTCAATGACCCGTGACAAAGTTGATTTTAAATGCTTGTTTGTTTCTTATGTTAATGAGTGAACCCCAAGGTGGCTAAAGATAAGGATTGTTTTGAAGTCTTTGTTTACAGCATATGTTAATGAGGGAACCTTAAGCTGGGCACAAAGATAAAGATGTCACTGAGAATGACCATGATGGTGAAGCATCATAAAAAGATTGCCATCAAACTTCTTCCAGGAACACACTACCTTGTGACCCAAGGCAAGGTGAAAAGCCCTGATTTCACCCACCAGCACGTAAAGATTTTGGAAGCCTGGAACCAGAGTTGCCCATCAGCTCTGAAAAACCACCAAGACCTCTGGACCTCCATGTGCTTTCTTCTGTTCCAAACTCAGCATCTGAGATCTTCAGGACAAGCCCTGCTCATGCATGTGCCTGAGCAATCCCCTCCAATCCCCTGCATTACCCTCCTGGTTTGGTCAGCGTAATCAATTTGTGTGATTTGAATTTTTGTGAATATATTTAAGCATTTGTGAGAGACATATTGACTGATATCTTGGACAATAGCGCCACCACTTGTGACCTTATACTTGGTGCTCACAACACACACACATGCACACATACATACACACACACACACACACACACACACCTGTACATTTTCTCTACTGTATTCCTTCACAAGTGGGTTTAACCTTCAAATTCAGCGCCTGAATTTCACATATTTGTGGTAAAAAGGACCCCTGAGAGTATACCAGGTAGTATGTGATTTTAGGAACCCCTGCCCCAAAAGCTGAAGCTGAAAATCATTCTTAAGTATCGCTATGTAATTTCTCCAGCTGGCTTCAATTCATGTGTAATCTGCTACTGACTGACCTGAGCCCAGTGAGAAGTCCAACGTGTGGAAACATCACAGCTTTTATCAAAGTCCAAGCCATTTCTTACTGTCTTTAGTCACTCTTTATAAGTGTCATTGGAAAGATACCTTACTTGTTATATTGAAAACTTATCATAGAAAATCAACACTTTAAATTTTTTTTTAATTTTACTTGAATGCTTCTGAAAATGAACTAATGTACCCAATAGAGAAATAAACATAACATAGACATTTGGAAATACAGTGTCCCCAGTCAGATATAAAACTCTTATACTCTATTCTTGAACAATAGTTTGTATATGAACATAGCAAACACAACTCACCTTCATTCTGCCCACTTCCTAAATAAATGAAAAATACATTTGAAATCAATGTGATTGTTGCAAATCTAAAAGACTTCCATCATGTGGATCTGTACAAATTGTCACATGTGTTAGTTATTTAGCCAATTGCCTTATGATAAATACACAGTGGCCTCATAAGTATATCAGAAAATAAGGAACCACCTGAAATTTCTAAATATTCAAACTTTTACCAAAAACAGCTTGTGTGTGAAGTTTAAATGGCATACAACCCTGAAAAAGGTTCCATTCCAAAACTCTACAAAAAAGAATTGTATGTTCAGATGATGAGAGCTAATCAGATACATGTAGGCATCATCTGGAAAACTTACTGGCATGCCGTAATTCAATCACAGGGAAAATGCATAACAGAACCCCTAATTATTTCTCTGATAATCAATCCAAAGACATCAAAGAATTAAATGAAACAATATAAAAATGAAACAGAAGATGACAAAGGAAAAGCAGCAAAAAAATACACTTACATCATTGAAATGATTTGGGAGACTAGCTAAACCCTTGGCACTTTCAAAACGTTATTATTGTTAAGGCAAGTTTGTCACAAAATGCCCCCTTGACTTAGTAGACACCTCAGACCTCTGCTCCCTCCCATGGATGCAATAGGCTGTGGGGAAGGCTGAGGCTCCACTGCTGGTGGGAGGAGGCAACCACCTTTCCCAAAGACCCTTCTAGGCAGCTACTCTTCTGTCTCTGAGCTGCCTTTCCTTCACAGCAGAATGCAGTGCTAGGCCTCCAACAAAGCTTCAGTGCTATGTGTTTCCCTGTTCCTTCCTAACACCAGTCTCTTCCTTGATGGAAACTTCCAGAATGCAGTCACAACAGAGGGAAGTCTCTGAGATGGGCTTGATTTCAATCAACATTCCTGCCAAATGAACACCTTTGATATGCAAAATGCCTGTGCTAGTGAATAATAAAGAATTCTATTTCCCCACAAAACCTTTTCTTCCAGGAGGTTAAAGGAAATTGTGGCTTGGTAAATGTTAATGTATCTATTGTAAAGATGAAGAAATTGAGGGACAATACAGGAATCAAATGATCAGATGAACTGAAACCCATAAAATCTTGGGGAAAGTTAATATGCCTCAGTCTTCATAAAGCAGGACTATTATAATCCTCGAGTAGAAGTATTTGGAGACTTTATAGCTGGGAATGAAAGGCACGTCTCATCAATAAATTTTCACATGCTGAACATCTCAGCAATTTAATTTTTAAATGAGAATTTTAAAATATCAAATAGAATTATGTGCTAAGCTGAGGTGCTTGGCTTTTACATATTTTAAACCTTATTACATTCCAAGATTAATGCACTTTAGCTTCATACAGTTCTAGTCTGCATTATATATAATTTGGTGTGTAAATTTGTTGCATTTAAACAGTTGAAGGTTTTGGTAAGTGCAATTAAAAGAATAAAATTAAGTAACTGCTGTTGATAAGAAAATAGAGTAAGTATACACTTTTGGTGTAATTGTTCTGGCCCATTTTAACTCAGGACTTCAGGGCTCTTACTAGCATGAACAACTCCTATCTATTCTTAAATAATTAATCATTTGCTCTCTGAAGCCAGAGAATAAGTATATGGCTATGCATAGGCATGTAGATGGAGAAGAAACAAACTTGTCTGGCATTTGTTTGCCATTCTTAATTATTTTCCACTTTTTAATATCAGCAGCAGAATGTCAAGAAATAGACTTTAAGGCAAACCTGGATTTGCTCTGTGTGACAGCATTTGCAAACTGCGTAAACCCCAAACTGTGCAATGAGCTGGGCATGTACTACCTGCTCGCTACAGAACTAGGTCCTTGACTGCACAAATATAGTGTTGGGTTGTAGAGAAATCTGAGGATTTTCATATCAGAGGAAATCACAAGTAAAACTACTCATTCAAAATAACAACCCAAAATGTACATCAACTAATTTTATGCTGATATCATTTAAAAGAAAATGACAAAAGTATATTGTTTTAAAACCTCTCTTGAAAATTCTGGTGGCCAAAGTTTGGTTAGTGATGTATCTGAATATGCCGTCCAACAACTAGGAACAGTAATCCAGCCAGAAGAGAAAAAAATATCCCAGCAGGGGCCAGAAAAAATGACCAGCCATAGAGAACGGAAGGGGTGAACTCCCAGCAGTCTCTCATTTTCAGAGCTTTGTAGCTTTCCATGTCAGCTACTGCCTGGACCCAGATGACGTAGAGCATCACCACCAGGGAAAACAGGACACCTGAGAAAGAAAGAAGACCATTACCTTTCTGGAGGCATCATTCCCCAAACTATTCCAAAACATTCATTAGTTTAAGGATGAACTCCTTAAACACATTCCTAGTTGAATCAAATACCATCTGTCCTTCTCTTCATTGTGTGCCTAATAGACATGGTATTTACCTTCATGTTTCAAAGCATTCTGGGGAGAACTACATCAGCATGAGAAACAACAGCAACAGTCAATAGAAGCTTTGAGTGCTTACAGTATGCCAGGTACTGTGCTGAGAGTTTGTGTTGTCATTGCCAAGGACTCAAACATTGTGAAGTTTATGTTCTAAAGTTTATACACTGTCACCAATGCTGTGTTTTAGATGAGCATTGTAACACACTATTTCATTCAATACATACAGAGATTCAGGGAAATGGGTACTATTATCCCCAAGCTTTAAGTGTGTGCAAACACAGATAGTGGTTTCAGAGCTGATTTTCAGCCCAGGTCCTTTTTAATTCTTGCTACACCATTAAAACCCAGCTAACCAGAACTACAACTAAACATGGCCACGAAAATGGAAGCTGGGGTGAGTTCCACACAAGGACAGACATGAACACACTGAGTGAACAAAGACAAATATGCATGATATTTATCATGGATATTGAAAGAATGAGGGAAGATCACTGATGATAAAAGAGTCTGAGGAACATAAAACCATACGTTTGAGGTTTAGAGCCTTATTAAATGACTAGAAAGTAAGAAGGGAGGGTGGAAAATGGAGGAGGAGAAAGAGAAGAGGGAAGGAAGGAAAGGGGCTAGAGAGGGAGGGAGGGAGAAAAGGAGGAAAGAAGGAAGCAGCAACATCACATTTTATCAACAACTCCCACTTGGCTGTAACCATTCACTTAAAAATACTGCTGGAATTCTAAGAGCAGAAGTTGTTTCACAATGATGAACCTTTGACCTTAACAATTGATATGGCAAAGAGGCCTGTGAATGTTTAAAGTTGAGAATGTCTTCAGGCATATATTGTTCAGATGTAGTTGACACAATAACTACCAGGCCTATACTTCACTCCCTTCTGATTCACTAGTGAGCAGCAAGCACCCTGAACAACCCAAAGGATTCACACTGGTCCCAGAGGTTAGGGTCATTTGCTATTTGTCCAAAACCCAATTCAAACATGCTCACGATTGTCATATTTATTGAACTAGTGGGCAGAATAAATCAATAGGATTGTGTGTGAAGTCCACTGCTGAATCAAAATAGAATTGTGCTGAATCGGCTTATAAGAAGGAAGTATTTATTTTGGCTTTCAGTTTCTAGAGCTTTTCTCCATGATACCTTGACCCTGTGGCTTAAGGGCCTGCTGAAGTTAGAACATTATGGTAGAACTGCCTGAGGAAATTGTTCATTTCAGGGTAACCATCAGGCAATAAGAAAGAGAAAGGGGTCAGGGTCCCAACATTTCTTCAAGAGCATGCCCCAAAGTCTGACCTCCCTCCCACACTGACCACCCAAAGGCTCTATCTACTACCTCCGAGAGTGCCACAGGCTGACATCCAGGCCTTTAGCACATGTCCTTTGGTGAACACTCCAAATACAAAGTACAGCAGGTATAAAATCTTCATATTTTAATTGCTCACATATCTGAAAGCTAACTGCAGTTCTGCTGCTCAGAGCAGAGACCAAGGCATCTTGATGGAAGAGGCAGTTTTTAAGGGCTCAGCCATCAGTCACACTCAGTACATTCACTGTGCTTCTGCTTCACTGAGGGAGACCACCCCCCCCCCAGGCTATCAAGTTCAGAAAGAATCTTGAGCCTCAGACCCAAAAGAAGGGTTTGTAAATACATCAAGGTGTGCTGACATCAGAAATCAAGGTTTCTAGTAATGACCATTCTGGCTAAGAGCAAAGTGTAAGTAACAGAGATGCTTCCTTAATAATTAGAAATGTTCTTCGCAGCGTGATCTTTAACGTAGATACACTGGCCCACAGGACACAATATCAGCCACTGAGCAATGGCTACATCCCAGAGAAACAGCAGAGCCATGCCAGACAGCAAACTCCTGACAAAGCTGTACTTCAGACTTTGACACTACAGCCATGCTCTCTGTTGCCTAGAGACTCTGAGCTTCCTAACTCATATTTCAGCAAATATGCAGACAGTGCTCCCTGTTGACAGAAAGGCCTGTCTTGAGCCTTTGTATGATATCTTTGGCCTCATGCAAACACATTGCCAACCTTTGCGCTATTTGTTGATACAGTTTTTATCTTCCTTCCATCAAGTAAACATCATGTTTTCAAATGTCCTTAAAAATAAAAAGGAAGAAAAAGAAAAGAAAAGAAATTGTCTTTGTAAAATAAACAGTAATCTTATACATATCTTTTTAAAAGTCACAAAATCCATTACTGGGTTTCAAATGTGAAAAGTACACTGTGGGGACTGCAGTGGTGACTCAGTGGTTAACAGCATGCACTGGTCTTGCAGAGGACCTGAGTTTGATTCCCATCACCTGTGTGTGGGGGGGGTGGGAGTCACAGCTGCCTGTAACTCCAGCTCCAGGTGGTGACTCAGTGGTTAACAGCATGCACTGGTCTTGCAGAGGACCTGAGTTGGATTCCCATCACCTGTGGGGGCGGGGGGGTCACAGCTGCCTGTAACTCCAGCTCCACAGGATCCTCTGGCTTCTGCAAGTACCTGCACTCATATGCACAAACCCACTCACACACAGACACACACATCCACAAAATTAATAAATAAATAAGAAAGAAAGTGTCCCCTAATTTATTTTTGAAAGTACCACCTCCCTCCCACACTGACCACCCAAACTGGTCACAATAGTGCACGCCTTTAATCCCAGAACCTGGGAGGCAGAGCCAGGAATATCCTTGTGAGTTCAAAATCAACCTGGTCTACATAGTGTAGTCCAGTCCAGCTGACACTACAAGGAGACCCTGTCTCAAAAAAAGAGAAAAACCAAAAAAAAAACCCCCAAAAGAACATTATGGGCAACAAAATTAATGAAAGCACTGAAAAATACCCATTTCTATCCTATAGTCTTCCACGTGTCACTAATTAAAGATGAAACAATTTATATGAAACATGTTTATAATTGTATCTCACCCATGGGGTGAAGTAATCAATACCTCTCTACCCATTAAATTGCAAATGGTGTGTGCGTGTTTGTGTGTGTGTGTGTGTGTGTGTGTGTGTGTGTGTGTAAGAGAGAAAGAGAGAGAGAACGAGATAACTAATGGAGAAAGTACACCAAAAGACACTGCTTTAGCTGGTAACACAGTAAGACAATTATGGGAATCTACACCAAGTCTGTAGTCAAGAGGGGAATCAGGTAGCCACTACTTAGAGTTGGATGGATCAAATAAATAAGTGGATCAATTCTAATTGGAATTATGTGTTTCCCTGCCAAAAATTCACTTACAAACTTGAAAAGAATAGTAAGCAAGAATGAGCTCGGTCCTCTAGACTGAACCTATCAACATGGATCCACAATAGTCAACAGATAGGTGATAGATACACAGATAAAACAAGGTGATAGATACATAGATAAGAGAAGCCAGTGTAGATGCCAGTGTATATATGCACATTACATCTACAGTAGTCTTCCTTTGGACTATTCATACCATATAAGGTAGGCCATTGCCAAGCTAGCCCTGTTCTGCAATAGCCTTTTCTATATCTGTATCATCTTGGTCATCTTTACTAGACTACATTTTGTCCCATTTAATAAACAATCTAAACATCAACAATGAAGTGTGTGTGTGCATGTATGTGTATACTAATCATTAAATGAATATTGATGGTGTCATATTATAACACATTGAAGAAAAGAGAACCCACAGCAATATGCATAAATGAGCCACTAACTATGGAAAAGAAAGTGTTTTCTTATAGTGGAAATCCAAATCACAAATGTAGAAGGAAAAGAAGAACCAGAAATCCCCATTTGACAATCATTTCAATATTTCAAGCAAGCAAAAAAATGGATGCTAAAAGTAAGGAATGAAATTTAAATGAAACAGCAGATACTTACACAGGCTCAGATCTTTCACAAAATGCTAATTTTACAAGATAAAAGGATAACCTTTGGCTAAAATAACTTGTCAATGCCACCATATTCAAGTGATCAAAGCTAACATCGCCAGTGCCATGTTGTGTTCCCCAGGGGTCCTGGTTCCTCCAAGGGGCGGAGCCTTCTGTGGAGAATTGACTTTGGACAGTTAGCCGCGGAAGGAGGGGCTTGTGTTGCCAACTTGGGATAGGTGTGGTGAGAAAGATGGCCCCAGGCGTCTCACCCGGCGGGGGGGGGGAACCAAGTGGGGGCATTTACCATCCTGGGGCAAGACTGTGGGCCCCAGATGCATGGGCGAGAGTTAACAGAGACTATGGGCAGGCCAGGAGCAGTCTGGATTGGCCATCTCTGAGCCTCTGTGGCATAAGAGTGCTTGTCTCTTTGTAAGTTCCCCCATTTATTCCCTCCCTACAAGGGCATAAACCATAATAAATGCACATAAAAATATAGTATATGGTTTGTTTGATCGTGCAAGAGACCCCAGGAGAACTCCGGTGACACATGTCAAGTTGGGACTACACATCCATCACTTGATGCAATGCAGTAGGAGGAACACAACATGGATCCAGTCCTCCAGTCCAAACACAGAACATAATCCAATCGCAAAAAAGACAAAAATCCCAAACTCAGTACAAAACCATTCAACATTCCACAAAACCATAAGCCTGTGTCATTTGAAAGTGCCAGGATCATGAACTTCATGATGAAATTTTTGGGGGTTGATGGAGACTCACATGGTACAAGTAAACACAATAAGTGGTCCAAGGTTAGACCCTTTTGCTATGAAAGAAATAAATGGGACAGCTACAAAAACCAGAATGGAGGCAGTTCTGGGTGAAAGCACCTGCCATGTCCATGTAAGTCTGAAGATATTACTCTTTTAAAGAAGCAAAATAAAATAACTTGGATGAAGAAGTGTGGCAAATCTGTGGC